AAAAAAAAAAAGTTCTCAAGCAATTATTAATGATTTGAAAAAACACTTATAATCTAATAACTTCCTATTACCCTCTTGACGCTTCCCATCATACTTAGTATAAAATGTGTACTCTTTCCCATGGCAGGACAGATGCTCAGGATCTGGCCCCTGCTTCCCTCCCAGCATCACCTTGTACTGCTCCCCTTGATCACTCTACCCAGTCCCACTGGCACCTTCCACTGCCCCAAATATTCTGGGTTCAACCCCCCTGGTGGCCTTTGCATTCTCTGTTCCCAGCAACTTGAACTGCCATCTTGCCTTTGTGTCTGGACTCAAAGTATCATCTTCCACTCAGCTTTCCATATAAGCAGACTCCTACCTCATCACCCGTTATCATAATGACATCCTGCTTTGTTGCCCACTAAGAATGGACCATAACTGGAAGTTATCTTTATTATTTACATATTGTCTCCCTGCACTCCCCTGTTACAACAAACTCCAGGAGGCCAGCCTTGGGTCTCCTGTGTTATATAGTTCCAGCACCGAGGACATGAATATAGTGGGCAAGTAGAATGTTGAGAGAAAGACAGACCAGGCAAAATATTAGCAATTCATATCACAAAGTAGTAATTTCTGTAATATGTCTCAAGTTACTACAAATTAAAAAAAAAGACAAACAATCCAGTAAAAACTGGATAAAGGATATGAAGAGACAATTTACAAGAGAAATAAATACAAACAGCTCAAACATAAGAAAAAATGGACAAGGTAACTCAATACAAGAAATTTTAAAAACAAGAACCGCCTGCCTGGCTCAGTTGGCAGAGCATGCAACTCTTGATCTCAGAGTTGTGAGTTCAAGCCCCATGCTGGGTGTTGAGATTACCTAAAAATAAAATCTTTTAAAAAATGAAATAGAAGAAATGCATAGCACGTATACATTAAAAAAAAAAAAAGAAAGAAACTTTAAAAAACAGTAATATAGGGGCACCTGGGTGGCTCAGTCGGTTAAGCATCTGCCTTTGGCTCAGGTCATAATCCCAAGGTGCTGGAACTGAGCCCCATGTCGGGCTCCCTGCTCAGCGAGGGTCTGCTTTTCTCTCTCCCTCTGACCCTCCCACCTGTTTGTACTCTCTCTCTCAAATAAATAAATAAAATCCTAAAAAAATAATAATAATAAAGATTTCATGTTTCAACTATCAGATTAACCAAAATCAAAGAAAGGGTGCCTGGGTGGCACAGTCGGTTGGGCCTCCAACTCTTGGTTTCAGCTCAGGTCGCAGTCTTGGGGTTGTGAGATCAAGCCCCACGTCAGGCTTCCGTGCTCAGCGTGGAATCTGCTTCAGATTCTCTCTCCCTCTATCTCTGTCTCTCCTGCTCATGCTCTCTCTCTCTCTCAAATGGATAAATAAATCTTAAAAAAAAAAATCAAAGAGTTACATATTGTAATACTGTGTTGGCATGAAGAAACTGTTACTCTTACTTGTACACTGCCAGTAAGAATGTAATTTATACACCAAATATAATTTGGAGTCTAGGGAAGATAATTTGGCAAGATGCATCAAAATTACATTTGCAATGACTTCACCCTGATGAAGATGGCTATAATTTAAAAAAAAAAAAAAAAACGGAAACAGTAAGTGTTGGCAAGGATGCAAGGAAATCAGTACCCTCATACACTGCTGGTGGGAATGTAAAATGATACAGCTACTGTGGAAAAGTTTGTCGTTCCTCAAAAAGTTAAACATAAGGGTGCTTGGGGGCTCAGGTCATGATCCCAGAGTCTCGGGATCGAGTCCCGTGCCAGGCTCCCCGCTCAGCAGGGAGTCTGCTTCTCCCTCTCACCCCCTCCCTTCTCATGGCCTCTCTCTCTCTAATAAATAAAATCTTAAAAAAAAAAGTTAAACATAGAACTGCCTTATGACTCAGCATTTCCACTACTCACTATATACTCAAAAGAACTGAAAACAGGTACCCTAAACGAAACCTTGTACACAAGTGTTCATACTCGCACTATTCACAATAACCAAATGAAAGAAACAACCCAAATGTCTCTTGCTGGATGGATAAACAAATTGTGGCAGTTACATATAATGGAATATATAATGGATATAAAATCAAGAGTTGCATGCCCTACTGACTGAGCCAGCCAGGCGCCCCTATAATGGAATACTATTCAACCAAAAAATAAATAAATAAGTAAATGCTACAACTCATACATACCACAACATGGATAAACCTTGAAAACATTAGAAGAAGCCAGATACAAAAAACCACAAATTGTATGATTACATTTATATGAAATGTCCAGAACAGTTAAATCCATAGAAATGAAATACGGATTGCTGATTGCATGGGCAGGAGAGAAGAATGGGAAGTAACTGCTTCATGGGTGGAGGATTTTATTTTGGAGTAATGGAAATGTTTCAGAACTAGAAAAAGGTAGTGAAGCCACTGAACTGTTCACTTTCAAATGGTTAATTTTATGTTATGTGCATTTCACCTCAATTTTTTAAAAATTATATAGACATACATATTGGCCCAAAAATTCCACTTCTAGTAATTTATTCTATGGATAGAAACATATGTATTGGGGCACCTGGGTGGCTCAGTCGTTGGGGTTCTGCCTTCGGCTCAGGTCATGATCTCGGGGTCCTGGGATCGAGCCCCGCATCGGGCTCCCTGCTCTGCGGGAAGCCTGCTTCTCCCTCTCCCCCCTGCTTGTGTTCCCTCTCTCGCTGTCTCTCTCTCCCTCAAATAAATAAATAAAATCTTTAAAAAAAAAGAAACATATGTATTATGAAAGGACATAAGAACAAAGGTAAAAAGGTTATTTACTATAGCATTATTCTTAGAGCAAAAACTAACAAACATCTTAAATGTCCATTAGTAAGGGGTTAATTCAAAAAACCTTATATATCGGGGCACCTGGATGGCTCAGCCAGTTAAGCATCCAACTCTTGATTTTGGCTTAGGTCTTGGTCTCCAGGTAGTGGGATCGAGCCCCATGTCAGGCTCCCTACTCAGTGGGGAGTCTGCTTCTCTCCCTCTGCCTTCCCCCACCCGTGTGCGAGCACGAGCTCTCTCTCTCAAATAAACCATTTAAAAAAAATCTTACATGGCTATAAAAAGGAATAAGGACCTTTACATTCTGACAGAAAGATGTCTAAGACACATTGCTAAGTATAAAAAGCCAGTTGAAAGCAGTATGTTGTGAATCACAATTAATACAAAAAAATAAAGGGAGGGGCGCCTGGCTGGTGCAGTTGGTTAAGCAAACGACCCTTGGTTTTGGCTCGGGTCCTGATCTCAGGCTCCATGCTCAGTGCAAAGTCTACTTGAGATTCTCTCTCCCTCTCCCTCTCCCTCTGCACCTCTCACTCGTGTTCTCTCTCTCGCTAAAATAAATAAATCTTTAAAAAAAAGAAGAAAAGAATATGTAGACACTATATACAATATGATTACAAAGTAAAGCCATGCCTACTCTATGACCCAGCAATTCAAATCAGACTCTACCCCCCAGACATCTGCCAATTGACCAAGGAGACAACTCCAAGTATGTTCACTGAGTCTTGCTTGCAGGAGCAAAAACTGGAAACAATAAATATCTGTTAACAGGGGAAGGAATTAATGAACCATAGTATTTCTTTTTTTTTTTTTTTAAGATTTTATTTATTTATTTGAGAGAGAGAGAAAGCATGAGAGGGGAGAGGGTCAGAGGGAGGAGCAGACTCCCTGCCGAGCAGGGAGCCCGATGTGGGACTCGATCACAGGACTCCGGGATCATGACCTGAGCCGAAGGCAGTTGCTTAACCACTGAGCCACCGAGGCGCCCCTGAACCATGGTATTTCTACTGGAGACCAGGAACTTCTGCAGCAGCTGGGAAAAAGAAGGGCACAGAGAGTTCACCAGGGCACTAACAATCCAGGGATGGTAGAGAGTGTAAGAAACAGCCAACTACGGAAAAGCCTGCTCTGACCTTTGCGCCTCAGGAGAGTCCCCAAGCAGACGTGTAGAGGACGGCAAGGAGAGCAAGGTAGGAGGCAAGGGGACCAGAAGTTCTCAGTAAGGCAATTAGTGGGGTATGAACCCACGGAAGGATGGGTCCATCTTCCCAGCAAAGAAGAAAGAGATGCAGGTGAGAGTATGTGAGGAAAGCAACAGATACATTGGTTTTGGCAAGGGAATTGAAAATTCAGGAAAGTCATTTTCTTTTGCTAGGGATTCCAGACGACTTTGAGGTTCAAACTCACTGTCCTCCCTGCTATAACACGGACAAAAAATTAAACCCATCTGGGAAAAGTTAACCCAACTCTCCCTTTGATCCCCATTCAATCCTGACCTTTAGCCTACCTTCCTCACCTTTGCTCTAACATTTCCCCCCCATTGTACAGATAAGGATGGTGAGGCTCAGAGAAGTAGCATCACTTGCCTGATACAGCTAGACAGGGACAGACTTAGGACTTGAACCCATGTCTTTCTAACTACAGAACCCTCACCCTTCTCCAGGTCCAG